AGAGAGAGAGAGAGAGAAGCTGGAGAGAGAGAGAGAGAAGCTGGAGAGAGAGTTATTAGCTGAAAACAAAATGTACAAGAGAGAATGCAGTATGACCTTCAGTTAGAAGTTTATATGTGTAAATGGATACTCACCGTTCATGAGGTCCAAGGTAAAACAGAGCTTGTCTGTCGTTTGAAATGCATACGTCATACATACTATGAAAGGACAGTCCACCTGATAGCAAAAAACATGGTCAAATCTATTATGGCCAAACCATAGGCTCATGTGAACAGTTACCTCTACCCCACAACTCACTCTTACCGTTCCATTCACATTTACCCCCAAGAGTACACTCATGCTTACACTATCACTCCTCCCTGCCCTACCACTCCCACTGCTCTACCACTCACCCCTGTACTGACTAGAGACAACATGATGCGTTCATTCAAGGCCAGCGTTTCTCCTTGTTTTAACTTGATTCGTTTTTTGTCCAAACACTTCATTGCATACCTACAATAGAACAGGGAACAGGTCAATAGTTGGCGGCAGGAGAATTGCAGCAACAATGCAGTGAGCGGCAACTTTGAATAGGTGGCGTTGCTGCGATGGTGCAGCGAGTGGCAACTTTGAATAGGTAGAGTTGTAGCGATGGTGCAGCGAGTGGATATGTGTACATGTATGTGTATGTATGTAGATATGTGTATGTGTATGAGTACATGTATGTGTATGTATGTAGATATGTGTATGTATGTAGATATGTGTGCATGTATGTGTATGTATGTAATTATGTGTATGTATGTAGATATGTCTATGTGTATGTGTATGTGTTCATGTGTAGGTGAATCATTTGCATGTGTATACATTCATGCGCGTGTGCGAGTGTGGGTTCGACGTTTGACGTTTGCGTGCGTGCGTGCGTGTCAGACAACATGTGTAGGAGGAGGAGGTGACATCAGCACCAGGACTCACCCCCGTCCCATGCATCCTAGTCGCTCCTCCACGTCCCGCTTTAAAAGTCCCTGCAGGCAGTCTCTCAGCTCCTCTGTGAAATGATCAGGCAGCTCTATGTTCTACAGGAGAGAGAACATCGCCATCAGATTTACATGCTATTGCTGTATGCCAGTCAGACACTCAACCCTCATCTCACACAAACATTTCATACAATGATATCTGACGTAGAAATACCAATGAACCGCATCAAAAGTACCAACGGGTACTTCTAAACGCGATGCTATTTAATATATATTCTACATCTGTGATATTGAGCGGAGAATTTCACATCAGAGGAGTGGTGGGAGAAGGAAGCCTTGCTCACCATTGTTAGTGTCATCCTGTCTATCTCGTTCTTGTCCTTTGTCTTGTGTTGTCGGAACGGACTGTGCCTGTAAGACAAGCGAGCATGGGTCAAGGCAAGTAGCAACCAGTGCCATCAGTACCCACCTCACAATCTCACTGAGAGAGAACAAGTGACTTATCCTCGTGCAGTGACTGACAGGTCGTTATAGCAGCAATACGGTAATTCTAAGATTGCTGCTTTGTAACGAGTTCGCCACAAAGGTACAATTTGCACAAGTGGACAGTTTGGAGGCGAGTTAGAGATCAGAAGTGTTAATTTACATCTAGTTCCTCACTGGAATATCGATTCACACAGTAACGACTACCAAGTTACCCTTCTCAGTGGGTGAATGGTGTGGCTGCAAAGTATTGGTTACCCTGACAAACATGCCAGTAGGTGGCGAGACACAGACAGAGCTGCGTTGTCATTAACTCACCCCCCCCCCCACACACACACACACGCACGCGACAGAGCTGTGCTGTCCTTCGTACCCTCCCCCATGCGCGACACTAACACGTACCCTTTCAGCAGCTTATACAGCATGCAACCCAGCGAGAACCAGTCAGCGCTCGAGTCGTAGGCTGTTCCTTTGGATAGAACCTCCGGCGCCATGTAACCGTGCGTGCCTCTGAAAGATCAAACACACCAATGATAGATAGAGCACACATCACAACCACTCATGTGCTGCTCACCTGACAAACAACAACGACTCTCGACCGATATCTATACAAATAATATTAATTAATATGGATCATCATAATGATAATCATACTGCTGCTGCTGCTGCTCCTGGCAATAATGATGATGATGACAATGATGATTATGATGATGATGATGATGATGATGATGATGATGATGATGATGATGATGATGATGATGATGATTATGATAATTAACTACGATGATTATATTGACAATAATGAATATGATAACAACAACAAAAACGATTTTGTTAACAAAATATCAATACAAATAACAACACAATAATAACAATTTAAAATTGATCAGTGTCTACCCACACTACCCCCAAAACATCAAGCCCGGTCCTAATGGCTTACACGCTTGCATGAGGTTTCTTCTTAGAGTAGTCACAGGCCAGTCCCAGATCGGATATTCGTGCGTGGCCATGCTCATCTAAGAGTATGTTGGCAGGCTGCAATGCAATCAAACCACGGGCAGTCACAAATAATGCACGTTTTCAGAAATAAAGCACAAACTTAAATACGAAAATAGTGGGAGAGACAAACAAACTGTTTACATGCATGTTTGTGTCTTTCCCTATTTTTGCAAATAAATTTGCTGTTTATAATGGCAGTCCCTTTATTACTGTTAGTCTTCCTTGTATATTCCTATATAAACAGATGTAGGTTAATATATGAAGTCATGCAATATATGAAAATATGACCAGTATATATCCCAATTCGAAAATCATACAAGCAGGAATGTGAGGCCAATTAGAAATCCAGCAGGTACCTTCAAATCTCGGTAGACGACAAATCGGTTGTGCATGTGTTCAAGGCCAAGTACAACTTCTGCAGCGTAGAATCTCATCTCTTGCTCAGAGAATACGCCGTGCTGTGACAGGTGATAGTGTAAGTCACCTCCTATTGAGAAGAACGGCACCGTTGTTACACATCAACAACACAGCAACCGGTAGCACTGATTACTTTACTACACTTTGTAGATTGCAGATAATTCCACTGAAGGTAAAGGTCAGGTCGAAAAGACATCAGTACACATAAAGTTAGTAACACCGATAAAGAGAGAGAGAGAGAGAGAGAGAGAGATAGAAAGAGAAAGGGATGAAGGAGAGGGCAGCGAGATAGAAAGAACAACAGCAATTTGCTGTGAACAAGCAGGGAGGGAGAAAGGAAGGAAGAGGCATAAGTAGAGAAATGAGGCAGGGAGGGAGAGAGAGAGAGAGAGAGAGAGAGAAAGAGAGAAAGAGAGAGAGAGAGAGAGAGAGAGAACAACAGCAATTTGCTGTGAACAAGCAGGGAGGGAGAAAGGAAGGAAGGGTGGGAGGGAGAGAGCAGGGAGGGAGGGAGAAAGGAGAGAGGGGCTACATGGCCTGCACGGCGATGACGGGCGCGGGACTGTCGCGCCGCTACGTTGAGGAGGTCGTGAAGGCAACGATCAAGGTGCACGAGGAGGA